TTAGGGTTTCCACATTAAACATTATTCACACAACTTTTTTGATTTGATAAAAACTTATGCCAAAAGCTTTTCGATGCGTCTACTGTACACAAAATTCAAGATAAATGTCAGATATTTAAAACCTGCTGTCACGATGCTTTATATAAGTCTTGTATAATTTTCGAAGGTTATTTTAATTTTTGAACAAATTTTTAGAAGATTTAATTAAATGAATTTTAACAAGATACTGTTGTCAATTCGATCAGATCGTCTGATTTCGGCTATTGTTTGACTTCTACTTTGTTTGTATAAGTTCCGAAAAAAGAATTTCAAATTTCACTAGCAATTCGATTTCGATTTATTAAATAAGTAATTATTATTATTTGAGGGAAGAGTAAGCGATTTTAAATGGGATTCATTTATTTGGGACATTGGATTCCAAATTGGAAAACTCTTTATTATACACATTAGAGAATATTTACATAGGAACTTCTTTTTATTATTATTCTTATGAAAAGAATTGTAAAATATTGTTTTTTTGAATGTATGATGGGGTCATAGTGTGTCTGTGGCTTCTGACAATGATGTTAATTTAATGATGATTGAGATCTTTGAATGCTTTTTTTTTTTTTGGTTTTAGAATTTAAGAAAGAGAGCTTATGTTTTTGTTGTTATTTTCATTTTTTTTATGATTTTATAATCAGAATATAATGGAGTGATAATTAGGGTCGATTATTCTAATTAGAACAAAAAATAATAAAACAAATCAAAGAACCCCAAAAAAATATTTAAGTACTTTTTGTATATATGGTAAAGAAAAAGCGTGTAAAACAAAACCATAACAATTAGAGTGTATACCGTGAGAAGAGAATTTAATTAACCTTTTAGATATTGTTGTAAATCTATTGAAATATTGTATACATTTATACTTATATATGAATTTTATATTCCTGTAAAGTTCTTGGAATGAATTTGAAGTAATTTGAAATAAATATTTGAATAATATCGCATATATACATACATATATGTATGTAAGCCATGTCGGTGCGTACGTGGATTAAGCATTGGGTTTGACAAGAAGTTTTTCAATAAATTCAATACGTATGAAATGTTTTTGAAACAATTAAAGAGTTTATTGTTTTGAAGAGTGTTAATAAATTTCTTTATTGAAAAAATTGTAAGTGATAAAAATACAAAATTTCTTGAATAATGTACGTGGACGTGTGTTGGTGTTTTGAATTATGTGTTAATTAATAATACTATACATTTAGAAGTTGTTACAAAATATTAATAAAATTTTAGGATTTTATAATAGAACAATCAATTTCAAATTAGAAAAGAACAATTTCTACAAGAGAGTTAATGAATTGAAAATGCAATTATTAATACCCTCAAATTCACAATATGTAATTACGATTATAGTACAATACAAGAATTACAGTAATAATATAAGTGCAATACAAGAATTATAGTAAGAATTATAGTAATAATACAAGAATATAAAATAATAAAAGAGCAATAATTATTATTAAATCATATACTTTTAAAACAATAATTAACTTTAACTGTATGATTCACTATTAAATAAACAAATTTGCAATTGATTTGAAAAATTAGTATTTTCAAATTCTGTTCTTCTGTAACTTTTTTTTTTATTTTTAAAAATATAAAAATATGACAAGTGTAGGTACATAATAAAATAGAAAATATTTTCATTTTCTTTAAATTTCACTTCATTTTAATGGAAATTTTTAAAATTATGTCATAAAAACTCATAGTCATACAATTAATTTTCATCTTGTCTACTTGTTAAACTTAATTTACTGTTAATATTCGTTATGAGCGTAGAAGAAATGTAAATTAAATTTTTGGTTTTCTTTTAATTATAGAATTATTTCTTTTGTTAAAAAATCATAGACAAAATAAGATATGGAAATAAATTCAAAAAAAAAGAACAATTAATAAACTGGGAAGCAACCAACTACTGTGAAAATCTGCGAACCGGCAACATCAAAATTTTTTTTTGTGTTCTTTAATTTTCATATCATTCAACTTTCAAGAATAATTATCATGTCTCTCTTTTTTTTTTTTTTTTTGGAGTCTTCATTATGGTGTTGTCGTTTCTGCAAATTTTTTAATGAAATAAAATTTACTATAATATTTTATAACCATACAATTTCAAATAAAAATATGCAAATTAAATTTTTTAATCCGTCTTATTCAAGTTTATGATTGAAAATGAATTAATGATATTCATTCAGGTTATCAACTGACAACTACTTCTACTCCATTATATGAATTTTTTTATTTTTTTATTTTTTTTTTCTAACAAAATTCAAATAATTATGTTATTTTAATAAATATGCGTATACATACCTATAATTAACATATATACAAATTTAGTTGTCTATATATAAATCTTATTTACAAACTTAAAATAATATAAATTGGTGAATGACAGATGATATGACATTAAGTTGGTAACAAGTTAACAACAACTGTAAACATCATCATCATTATAGTAATTTGTATATTGTTATTTATACATTATGTTTTATAGTAACTATAGTATAATAATTAAGAAGAAATTACAAAAAGGAAACAAATCAACATTATCTGTCAAAACTATTTGTCAAAAAAAGCTGAAAAATAATTTGATAGAGTGAATGAACAATATACCTTGAAGCGTTTTAAATCATAAAGCACATTTATATTATACATACATCTATATTTATAGCACATGTTTAAATTATACTTAATTTAAAAGTAGAAACAAGCTTTGAATTTAAAACTGGAAATTTGAGATCATTAACGTCGCACTGCGAATGCAGTTGGTTATTATTATTTGCTTCTATGACACATAAATATATAAAAAAATGAATTACCATAGCACTATCAAAAAAAATTTCTTGTTTTCTTGTTAGAGTCATGCTGTGAGATTATAGAATTAACATGTTGGTAAAAAATAATTTATTTTAATCATAAGTAGAAAGTATGTTTAATATGCAAAATTTTTTAAATTTTTAAATTTAGTTTTAGTTCGTACGTACTTCTGGTGTACGTGTACAATGGTAAACAATTGTTACATACTGATATTTCAAAACAACACAAAGGTTAAGTTTGCCACAAGATAAGAACCTCATAAGCTTTTGTATGAGTTTTGTTTCATAGTTTTATTCAACAAAAAGGTAGGATACCAAAATTGTTTAACATTTAAATTCCACTTGTATAATTTAAATTAATTAAGTTTTTTAGAGCGAAGCTGCATATAAATATGTCAAATTTTGTATTTTTGTAATCAATTTCGAAGTGAAGATGAAATTAGGCCCGGTTAATCATTATTGTTCAGGTTAATCATTTTAAAAATTATATAACAAACCGATAACAATAACACAAATATTTTTGTACATACATAGTGTATATGTACATATATATACAATATGAAATTAAAGAATATTTTTTTACTAAATTAAAAATTATTTTTAAAATTCATAATTAAAATTGACAAAGATTCATAAATTGAAGTTAAAGTTGACTTAGTTTAGAAAACTTGGTATATTTATAATCTTACCTAACTGTGTACCTAACTACACAAATATATACATGTATTATGTATATTTACAATAATTCCCGTTTGTAATCCTATTATATTTCGATGTGTGTGTGTATATGGTTTCTCAATTTTTAATTTAAACTGATTTTAACTCTAAATTTTCTTCTTATTTTAACCGATATAGGAAATTTCAATATGAGATTATTAAATGTTTTCTCATGATCACCATTTTGACTTTATTAATATTTAAATCAAAATAAAATTTTTAAATATTATTTTTTAATCAGATTATTAGAAAATATTAAAAAAAAATCATTAGAATCTGTCTGAGTGGGCATCACCAATGTCAAAATGACACTTTATTTAATTACTATTTGACGATTATTTGATAAATTTAAAAAAATCTGAACATAATAAAATGACAACTCTTTGTTGTTTCTGCATTGCCGAACTTAATACTTACGTGATATATGATAATAAGCTGAATCAAAGTTAAATATTTTCGACACTTCACTTTATATACATATTACGTACATACATATGGGTATATATTTAATATATAATCCGATTTAATATTAATAGGGAATAAAAAAGAGGGGAAAAAACCATAATAAGTTTAAGTCGTTGTAAGTATGAGATTACAGATGGCATTATTTTTAAATGTTTTGAAGGTTAAGTTGACAAAAAATTTTTTTAGATTTAACAAGGAGTTCACAATATTCCACTTTAGTTTTTTTTATATTTTATGAAAAGAATTTTTAGTTTTATAGATTCACAAAATATAATACGAGTATGATTAAGCAAGTCTAAAATGATAAAAATATTAACACTTTTACTTTTTTCAAACTTTATTTTATTTAGAGGAAGAAAAATTGTAATGAACAGAAGGTTACTTAATTTAATTTTAATTACAAAAATCATTTATTATTGCAATTTTTGTAATATTGGTTTGTGGATATGTACATACTATATATTCGTAAAATGTATTTATTTTGTATTAAATGTAAATTAGATATAGCATTGCTAGAACTTCGAACACATCATATTAAATTTAATTCATTAATATTATCTATGTATATCCAATTAACTTCACAAGCTCATATTTGCTTTTAACATGTAATTTGACATATGTCATTAAAACATTAATTTTAACTTAATAGAAATTTCGGTTAATTACTCTGTTTTGCTGCCTTTATGTTTAATTTCTCTTTTTTCTCTGTTTTATAATTGTATATTTTGCCAATTTAAATTTAAGTTCGAATATATTTCAAAATTTATATAAAATTAATTTCGTTTTTATCAATGAATAAGCTTTTGATTCTTCACATTCAACAAAAATATGTTTTTGATAGCCACACGTATATATACATATTATAATTAAAAAATGAACATTAAAATGTCATAATTACTCGTATATTATGTAAAATATTATTTGACATGTATTTAAAATTAATCGATTTACAAAAAATCAATTGTGTAAACGAAAATCTATCTGATATTGTGAATCATCACTTGTTAAATATTGTGTGTCTTCATCTATTACATATTGTGGACCATCACCTATTTCATATTGTGAATTGTCACCTATTTGTATATCCCCATATAAATTGAAAAGTTCAGTTGTTGTCGATTGAGTTGCTGAATATGTTGAAGTTGATGATTTTATTGTAGTTCTTACTTCTTCAGTAGTTGTTGGTAGAATTGTTGTTGTTGTACTTGGAACAATTTTTTCAGTTGTTGTTAATGGAGTTGTTGATGTTCTTACAGTTGTTGTGCTACTGTGAATTATATTTGATGTTGTTGATGTTGGACTTGTTGTTGTAGTACTTGGAATCACATTTTCCGTTGTGGTAGTTGTTGTTGTTGTAGTTGGAACTATTATTTCAGTTGTTGTTGTTGGATTTGTGGTAGTTGGAGTTATTCTTTCAGTTGTTGTTGTTGAAGTAGCAGCTGTGGTTGTGGTAGTCGGAACAATTCTTTGAATTACTGTTAATGGGGTCGTTGATGTTGTTGATGTACTTGATATTGTTGGTATTTCTGGGATTATGAAAGAAGGTAAACTTGGTAAAGTTTGAAAAGGCATTGCATAATTCTGTGTTGGATTGTATTGATGTGGTATTCCAAAGTTTGTTTGAGGATGTCTACATCCGTTTGAAGAAGTAGAACAGCTACCATGTCCGTAATAATTATGTGGTATTCCAAAATTTGTTTGTTGATATAAGCATCCATTTGAAAAGGTAGAACAGCTACCATGTCCATAATAATTGTGTGGTGTTCCAAAATTTGTTTGTTCGTTTAAAATTCCATTTAAAGATGTAGAAGGACTGCCTGGTCCATTATAATTGCGCGGTATTCCAAAGTTTGTTTGTTGATGTATAAACTCGTTTGGCGACGTAGAAATGCTGCCATGTCCATAGTAATTATTAAAACATCCTTGACCTGGAAACTCAGAACAAACCGTTCTAGGGTAGTTTGAGAAGATCTGATGATATTTATGATCATACGGATGATGGTGATGATGTTTGTGATCATTTGGGTAATGATGACGGTGATGATGACGTTTATGATCATGATGATGAGGGTGATGCTGATGATGATGTTTATGTTTATGTGGGTGATGATGATGACGTTTATGATTTGAATGATGGTGATGTCTGTGATGTAAACTGTGATCTGTACTTCGATATTCTCTATTCTTTGGCCATGATTGATATTTTGTATTAAAGCCACATTCGTAACATAAATTGTGTCTTTCCCTTTCATTTAATTTTAAACTATCTTCCTCTGAAATATACCCTGATAATTCCTCCGAAATATGTGCTGATGTATCATAATTATTTTCGACATTCTGCAATGAATTGTGTTCCTCACTATCAATTAAATTGTTTAATACATCAAGGAAACCATTTATATCGACATTTGTCGTTAACCGTGCTGTATTGTACGGCTCAATGCTGTCATCCACATAAATATCGTTATTTAATTCATTTATTATTTGATTAAGTTGCTCATTATTCCTTCTTTGTTTATGTTGTAAGTGAAAATTATATTTCGAATTCTCCAAATTATTAAATTGTCTAGGAATAGCAACTGATGTTGCTATTAAATGGAAATATAAAATAAGACAAACCGTTTTAAACTTCATTTCATTTCTGAAGCAAATCGGAAATTTTATTCCCACTTTTATACAAAGTAAAAATTTTAATCAGGAATTTATTAAAGAGAAAACAACTAAAAATTTTGACCTCAATGTTATCAGTTTTATTCATATTGTTTTAATTATAATAATATGAACGTATTTATGAATTATATAAATATATAAATTTCTATGGAAATCTATGCATGTATGAATTAAGTATCATATCAAATTCTTTACATATATGTACAATACATAAATAGAATTTCAATTTTATTAAACCACAGTAGCTATAAGTTACAATAAACCTTAACACAATAATTTTAAAATTTGACTAATGTACGTGAATTCCTATAGATTAGTTTTTGTTGACAAAAAAGAGTCATCTTGTGAAAATGAAAATTATTTACAAAAAGTCAAACAAAGTAGCTTAAACCCATAAAATATAGAAACTAGCAACCTGTCCTATAATACTTATATTGTTGCAAAATTTCAGTTGAGGTACAGGTACAGTGGAGCTGTTAATGTCAAGTCTCTGATATTCATTCTGAATGAAGATAATTGCCACACTGTTTCGTGCAGACTTGCAGTTGACATTTAAACCCATAAAATCTCAAAGGTTTCTTCCGAACATATTACCGAATACATTTAGACTAGACGCGTATCGTACAACTATAGATACTCGATTTAAGTGCGAAATTTGGTAGTATTCATCATAAAGATCATAATGAATTCTTCTAAAGAAAACTTAGATTCTCAATAAATTATAAAAATTAATTGCAAATAAATAATAATTTGTGCGTCAAGGAACATAACTGAATCATAAAAATAACAAAATCATATTAATTGTTTTCAATGTTATTGGTTTCTAAAAACCGCATAATAAATTTTGCAAATTTAGAAACTTTATTCTACTTTCCACATAAAGTAAAATATTCTAAACTGGGGATAGTAAATTTTATATGGTAACAAAATTCCCTGTATTAAAAAAAATTTTAACTTTGAATTTAAAAAAAATAGAAGTTTTTTCTTGGTAAAAGAAATTGTTTAATAAAATTTTTATTTGTTCATTAATTTTTTTTGTATTTGTTATTTATCTTGAAAAAAAATTGACCTTTAATTAATTTAATCCCGCATTAACAAATAATGTTTGTTGTACTATACAAAGTGTTAGAAATTTTAAAAGTTAGTCAGTATATAATACAATTTAATTGTTATATTCAGTAAGAAACTTAAAATTGCATGCTTTTAGGGGCTCACTTCTTTTTTCCCAAATTACGTTAGGCGTTTCTTTAAATATTGTATTCAAAATACTAAAGAACCTACAAAGAAAATTCTTAACAATTTTTTTTTGAATTTCTTTCTTTTATTCATTCAATTGCAAAAAGACCAAAATTTTTCAATTAAAACCATTCAAATTATTTTTGGCCAGTCTTCTTTTACTTGTTTTTCCATTCTCATCCTACAAAAAAAATATAATTTTAAATCCTTGAATAATATTATCAGTTAAAATGACTAAAAGTGTTTAAGAGTTTCAATTAAACTTCCTTAATTTTTTTTTCTAATTTGAGTAAAAGCGGAAATTCTTTAAAAGCAAACTCTTAAAATAAAAAGTTTAGTTGTGTGTTCAAGAATAAATCTTCTTGAAAAACCCATTTAAAATATTTTGTTTTTGTTTTGATATCAGGAAAGGAAATTTTTTAAATTGTGTTGCCTTCCAGACAATGATAAAATTTTAAAAACCTTTTTTTTACATTTAACTTTCTTAATTAATTTTGAAAATTTTGATACCAAAACCATTACTTTTTATTTTTCATTTTTCTACTGAGTGTGTGTGTGCTGTATGGAAAAATCTATAAGTTAAAACATTTTTAATTTTAAAAAGCCAAAATATTGGTTTTTAAATGAAAAATTTCCCTTCGCAATTAACCCAAAATTATTTTCTTTTTCCATTTATTTTTAATGATTGATCAACTTTTGAACTTATTCGCAAAATAATATAGCCACGAAACATTTTTTAAATTTGAATCATTATCCAAATATTCTAATATTCGAGATAATAGGTTCGAAAGATTTATTGAGCTATGTTTCATGAAACAATGTTGTAAGGTCAGTCGCAATTGTGTCAGTTTTTATATTCTGAATATAATTTAAAGTTAAAATCGTCTTCAATTCTTAAAAGAAAGGATATTTCAAACCTAATAATTAAAATGAAAAAATGCAAAAGGAACACATCAATATATGATTATTTCAATACACTTACACATACATTTCGTACAATCATCTTAAAGGAATTAAATTTAAATTTAATAATTTTTATTTTCCTACAACTGAGGCTTGGGTAACCTTTCTATTAATTATAAGAACGTATTATAAGAGTACCTTTTAGAAAATACTTCAAAAATTTTTATGTATTTGTCAGGATTAAACAAAAAATGTTTAAGATTTTTCCTTGGTATTTTAAATTTAAATTTTTTGCTCAAATTTAAAAGCGCACTATAAACTTCCAAAGAAAGCCATTTAGAAAATTTTATTTTTTTTTCCCACCATTTTGAATGCAGACACCAGTAAACCTTCGAAATTTTAAAATTGCTATGTTTGAATTTGAAAAAAAGTAAAACAAGATTTTGAGTTCAAAATATCACAACTTCACTGTTAAATGTTATGTATTAAAATCTTAATGTAGAAAATAAGAAAGGAGGTTAATTGCTAATATGAGAATTAAAATGAGAATTTTTGCAAGTGAACTAGAAATTTGTTTGTATACGTATTTGATATTACATATAGGTAAACATATGGTGTAGTAAGTATAGTGAGCATTTTTAAATATTCCTAAAAGCAAACAAGTAAAAATGAGCACTTATTGTATTAGGTAAATAAGTATATAAAATATATAATCTTCAAAGTAATTACCATTTATCCCTTAATATTATTAGTTCTTTATATTTAAAGTTAGATTTTAATCAGTTTTAAGATTACTAGAAAAATTTGCGGTCAGATTTGTAATACAATACAATTTATTATACTATCTTAATTAACTATATTGTTAATTTTAAAAATTTCATTTGAAAAAATATAAAAATCAGGATAAATCAAATAGCAAAATACAAATACTTAGTGTTTATGTTTAAACTTTAACAGTATCAATTTCGTTAAAAATTGTGTTCCTTACTAAGTGCAGGATCCTAACAAAGGTAAATACTTTCATTATTTTTAAAATTTTCAACTGTTTCCTTTGAATGAAAAGGCAGCAGAGGAAAATGGAACAAAAAAATTTTTAGTTAATTTTGTTCGAAAATTCCCTCGCAGCGATATAATTAAAATATTATTCTCACGTGTATCTCAAGAGCACACTGAACGTATTTCGAATACTATAATGTATTTTTGCATATCGAAAAAGTCAATAGTGAACTAGTAAAATAAACTAATTTTTTTTTTTATTAAAGGATGTTAAGGGTGTCCTATTTGAAAAATAAAAATTATTTTGTTATTTTTTTTCTTTATTTGTATAATTACTTTTAATTAGATTTTGCCCTTATATCGTATTAAATTAATTGCAAATAAAGAAAAAACAGATTTGTGAAATTTAAATATTTTTTTCTGTTTTATTAAATTAACAAACTTAGGGCCTAATTTAAATCGTTTCAAAAGTAATGAACTGAAAATTGTTCCGTAATTTAAATAATCATTAATTAAGCAAATTTTAATTTTTAAATTTTTACTGTAAGTGAATGTAATGAAAAGAAAATGTAAAAAATTTTGTTTTACCGTATAACAAGAACGAGCAACTGTTAATGATTATAAGGATGTAGCCCTTAGTTAAATAATCGTGCATGTTATATTTAAAAAAAAACATTTGTATCTCCGATACAAATCTTCACTATCCCTACACGTTTTTCTGGTTTTGTTCTGAATTTTTCGAAGTTTATGTTTTTTTTCTTAATATTCGCAATTCGAATTTGTTTTTTCGTTGCAATTATTTATTCAAAATTATTTTTCCATTAAAATTCCATAATTTTCCTCAAAATATGTAGAACAATGTAGTCTTTAAATATTTTTGTTTTAATTTTGAAGCAATTTCTTAGCACTACTTGTCTACCAATATCTTTAATATTTTAATATTTATTTGTATATCTATAACGATAAATTTATATATATATATATATATATATATTAAATGGCGCCCACAAGCAATTTATTATTGTTTCTCATTTCAAATATGACAGACTTTTATCAATATACTTTAATCAAGAAGCCATTTACAAATATTATTAATTTCGATTCTATTCTGGTCTTTTTCAATTATATTTAACTTCTATATTTTGTGTTAAATACTTGGCACTTTCTAAATGAATATATATTTGAACAACAACAATAACTTAACTTTTTCCATTATCTTTTATATTACAATTTTACTTTTAATTAATAACCATCATCATTGTAATTATAATCATTATTATTATTATCATTATTACAAAAGAAAATCACATTTCATTTCACTTGATTTATTAACATTCCAAATATTTTATGTATGTACATAAATTTACTTATATTCATATATATATATATATAAGTATATTACCTATATTGTTAACCATACAACTATGATAATAGAAATAGTGAGGCTCGTTATAGTTATCTGTCGACACACAAAATGTTACGTGTATGTATAAATGTTTATTTAGCCATTGAAATAATGATTGCCTATCATCACGGCGGCTGTCATTATTGTATTTTTAATATTTTTTCTTTTAAATTTTTTTTTTTTTGTCGAATTCATTCTATCATAATATTTATTTTCAATCAAAATATCTCTTTAAAAAAAATTTTTTAATATGAGTAGCGAAGCGTGTAATGTTCTTATATAATCATACAAGCTTTTGTTTAATATGCTTATAATCATTATCATTATTGACATTATCCTCATAGCTATTTTCGAGATCCAATACAAGAATCTAAACTAATAAATTAATAGTTTGCTGAATTAATATATTGAGTGTACAAATATA